GCAATGAACCTAAAATGAGACTTCTTTGTGTTCAATATTGACAAGGAAGGATAAAGTGTGATATACTTCAGTTGCTGTAAATATGAAAGCAAGTAAAAATGCTTGTTTCAATGGACTCTTACATCCTAAAATATCAGGAAATTGTTTTAATTGTGGATTGGATGACTTGGACGATACAAAAGCTCATCACCTAGAAGTGCCCTGAGACTACAATACAATGAGGACTTTGCACAGGTGGAATGAATATAACTTAGCTGGCTGCAATATTTCTTTGGTTGAAACCTACAATTTCTAAGTGACAAACTGCATCAGCTTTAATCCCCTTAAAATGTGCATGTTGCCAGGGCTGATTATAGGGGCAAACAACTGATGAAATGCTGGGGTCATTTTTATTCAGTTACTCAACTTTCTGTTCAACAGATGATACAAATAATCCAAATAATTTGTCTTTTTTTTTTCATGCTGCCAAGGCCTGTAGTGAGATAGTGTGTTTGCATGTACATGTCATGAGATAATATGCAAATTTTTTGCCCAGTGGATGAAGAATGTCCTAAAAATGTATGAATGAAAATTATCATCTTATATAGCAAGAATCATACATACAAATCATGACTGAAGCCATAAAAAGGCAACAGATCCAAACAAAGGCGACAATAGACAATCCTTACTTGAAGTGTTTTTGTCAGAGGCTAATTTGCACCTGGAACGTTCAGACTTATGCTTAACTGCAAGACAACCCCATTTTGCTATATCAGTATTTCTTCTGAACAGTTGAGCAATTGATTATATATTTAGCTGGATTTTGCAAATTTGTAGGCATACTTCAGATAAGAGGATTATCCAATTGATGTATCTCTCTGTTCTGCAGTACAGAACAAAAGGAAAACACATTCATTTGCCAATGCTATGCAGAACAGCATTATGTTGTCTGCAGATAGAAAATGCTACACCAGAGTCTCTGGAGCTAGAGGTTCCATTTCACCATTGCTTCTTTTATCTATGAAGACCAAAATCTGTGCTGTAAACCAAATTACCCTGAACTGCCATAACATGTAGCAACCTATAGAAACCATTCTGTATGATGTTTTAATGGCTTGTGAATGACACCCTGCAAATTTCTTTTCCTTAGTTCTTGGAGGAATGAGTAAAAAAAAAATCAATAATACACAAAAGAGACATATTGATTTTTACTGGAAATGACCTCTTCCTTCTCCAAAGTATCATAGGCTGCGTTTAAGGGAGCACTGGATATTTGATACGCTCAAAGCTTCAGGCAAATGCTACATTTAATAAAGCTTTTAGATCAATGTCGGTGCTATGGAAATTTCTGAGTAGAGGGAAAGTGAATTAAATCAATCTGTGGCATAAGCCTTTCCTTCATACTTGTATTCAGACTGAGGTATAAACTTCATATACATATTAATAGTTAAACTTAATAAGAAGATGGGGCACATACCTTTCTAAAACTGTAAAAGAGAAACAGTAACCCATTTAAATTTTAATTTACAATATAGCATATAAAATGAAAGTTTAAATAAAAGACTGATGTTGTTGGCTCCTGAGATAATTTGTTTTTCTTTGCCCAATGTAGGACTGGCCCTGTTCCCACCAAGTCTCTAATTCTTTAGCCTTATCACTGTCCACATTGGCATATTTTTGGAGATGCTTCACAAGGCAAGGCAGAAGAATACATACTTTATGTGGGAAAGACTCCAGATATTCTTCCCAGGATCTCTGAGAGTAAGGACATCTTAAGTCCTGAAAAGCTGCTGTCTACCAAGAGATCCTATTTAACATTTCAAAAGGAAAAGAAAATGTAGATGTGTTTGAATTATACTATAGCCCCTGCTGGATATTACTTCCTGACCCTCTGTTGAAGATACTTGAATACACATCTACACAAGCAATTATGAAAATTATTTTTTAAAGGTAGAATATGAAATGATGGGGAAGACAGTGGTAGACTCCCTCACAAAACTGTCATCTGACCAACACCTTGTAGCCACAGGTCCTGTTCAGAATAAGGTAGACATCTGAAGCTAATGGATATTAGAATATGGAAGAAAAATAGGAAGTTTAGTTTGAAAGAATACTAAAAGTATTATGAAGCAATAAATTCCCCAGAATTGTTTTTCAATAAATGGTTCTTGAGTTCAATAAAATTAACAAAAGAAGAAGAAATGTTTCTTTGGAATTGTTACCAGGTGATTTTTTAACAGTACAAAAGAGATCAAAATTATCCAAGTAATATTTTTGCCAATGGCCCAAGATGTTTAGTGATTGCTATTTACATCAAGCAATGACTACTACTATTACTACTAGTAGTTTGAAATAATTAGTACAAATAATTGGATATAGTTCCTAATTTTTGTATACATTATATTTCTTATGTCTGATAAGCTGCCCTAATGATACGGCTAACATAAAAGATGTTGCAGGTTCTTTCAAGCTTGAAGGTCACATATATTTAGGAGTACAAGTCTGTGAATATGAAATTGTGTCACGCATCTTTTAGCACATTCTCACTTTATGTTCGGGCACCAATTAGCAGTGTCAGAAAAAAATGTAAAGAATTAAGCAATGTCAGACTTGGAATGTAAAGGATAAACTCATGATATAGAAAACTCATTAAACAACAATTAAACTGTCCTTATTTCTTAATGAGACATGGGGATAAATCTTCACAGTTCAATTTTTCTTGTTTAATCTTCTCTCTTGGTGTATGATTTTTCTCTTTTTTTTAAAAAAAAAAAATCTTTTTTCAAGGTCACTTGCTACCACTTGAGGGAACATGTTTAATTTTTCACCAGAGACAATGCAACTGTTTCTTAATATTCCTGGTATAAACTTTTGCTTGCTCATTTTATTTAACATATGCTCTGTTACAGCTGGTCTGAACCTACTGGGACAGAAAAGTGTTAAGACTTCAAGATTGCTGGCAGGATATCCCTGTTTTTCTGATTTGCAGTTTAACAGAGGAACATGAATTTCTGTGAGGGTGCAATACTTTTCAAAAAAAAGATTAAGTTGGCTAGGGAAAGGTTGAAATAGAAAATGTAGCTCACATTCTACTTCAGAATCTTTACCCCATTAATATGAAGATCTTGGATTCTTCCACATGGTTTCTCATTCCTTCCCTTCAGGCATTATGAAATTAGGGCCATCAGGAGTGCCTTTGACATCTCACTGAAAGTAATGCAATCAGGATTACATCCTTTATAGTTGATGCCATAAGCAATCTTGCCACAGCATAAGGATATCACATAGAAAGTATATGATGAATTGTCACCTTCAGCTCTAACACTTATTTGAGAAATTATTAGTCACCATATTAACGTCAGTTGGCCCATGGCATCAGAGTCTGAAACCTTGGCTTCTGATTCTTCAAAATATGGACAGCTTAGTTTCATTGAACAAAAGAATGGATTCAATGTTTAAAAAAAAAAAGCACAGAGAATGTAATAATTAGACTATATTGAACATGTACTGTCATTGTAGGAGCTTCTAAGACCCATTGGGTCCTCCTTGAATGTACTAAAATTATTTCAATGTCATAATGAGTCACTGTATAGGACAGGCCTATCTCAATGCAATAAAAATCTAAGAATGGAATTCTAAAAGTTACAAGTTCTTCTCACTTTTCTGTCTCATGGGCTTTATTTTCCATTTCTGGAAACAGATGTGTGGACAAGAAAGTTCCAAGCCTTCACCTTACAATAATCTTTCTAAAAATGTTTAATTATATAAGTTCTCCAAGAAGGGCAAAATAATAAACATATAGTTCTCACATAATTTTTATTGTGATTTTAAGTTCCTGAAGATTTTAGGGCATCCATTTTATCCATTAATCTTCAATTCTTTTTTTTAAAAAAAAGTATGGTGTGAAAATTTGATATATCCATTGGTGTAGGCTCTATGGACTGAAAAAGAAGAGTAGTTCTTTTTCAAGCTGTGCATTTCTCATCCTTGATTTTGAAAGTTTTTATCATACCCTTTTATTAGGGTTAAAAGAATAGAAAAATCAATAACACTATATATAAACCCTCAATAAAGCACAGTCCAGTCCTACATTCATGCTTTCTGAAAGTAAATTCCATTGAACTCAGTGAGGCTTAATTTGGAAAGAACATGTTAAAGGCCTCCTCAGGTGTTGGGAATCTGCATACTGAGCCCACTGATCATTCTTTGGGCTTTGGGGATCTGACATGGAACTCTCCTTACTTGAATGTGAATACTGCTTTGCCCACAATCAGGAAACCTGCTTTATTGGGGCTCAGGTCACAAGGAATGCTGCATTTGCATTCAAATAAATATGAATATAATTCCGTTTCAGAATTTGCAACTGAAATGTGAAGGTCCAAGAGAAAAAAGGACATTCTCAACCCATTTTCAAGCATTCAGCTGAACTGTAAAAAATTAAAATGCAAGTCACAATGGAGGGGAAACCCAAATCACACAAGTATAGCTAAAAACAATTGCCATTAAGTTTTAATTGCTTCATGGTATCATTTTTCTCCATCAGTATAAATTAGGGGCAAATAATTTGTTATCTGAAGAATTTACATTTACTGGGGAGCATTAAGGGATGATGGAGAGGCTGAAGCTATTTTAGGATTGAGTCTGCTATATAGCTCTATTCCATTCTCTCTTCCTTCAGTTTTTCTCTGAGTGTTTCTTTTTTTACTCTATATCTATTGAAGATACCCAGTCCTTTGGGATTATTCTCATTTTCATTTGTTTTCTACAAATGTTTTTTCTCCTTCAAATCTCAAGTTTCCCTCAAGTTTGCTCCTACCAGCAGATCTATCCTGCATGTGCTTTGTAGGAGAGGGGGACCTCTTTGTTAACCAATGAGAGCACATGGCATATTGGAACAACTGAATGTGAAGTTTGTTTCTTTAGTGAGGCTCCTGTAGATTCTTCATTTGTTGTCATGCAGCTGAGGATATTAACTGCCACCTCTTTGATACTGAGGATATACCTGCATGTATCTCTTTCAGATAATTGGGTGTTTTCCACCTGTGGTGCCAGTGGATCACAAGGACCTACTCAGACCCAGTGTAATGATTTCTATAAGATCTCTAATATCAGTGTACTGGTAGGAACAGAGGAACATTTTCCTGGTGTACAGATATGGAGAGTTCCTGCAGCCAATACATACAGGTGAGCTTTCTTTTACTTATTTGTTGAAACGCTGATATCCTATTCTTCAGCTCTAAAATGCTCTCAGACTGACTTACAGAATAATATGAGCAAGTAGTACTCATTCATGATTTATTTGTTTCTTACAACAGTTACTATGTTAAAAATGAGCTGGCAGAAAAACTGCAGAGCTTGATCTCTAGAATCTATTTCCCCAAACTTTGCTAAGCCCTGAAACACACAAAAAAATGAAGAGACTAAGAAATTTCCCCATTGCCATCAAAGGGCAGAATTGGATTTTATCCATTAGTTCGGGGACTAGAAAGAAAGAAAATCTTTACTCCTGAAAAATGTAGGGTGAACTAATGACCCTAGATTTTGTTCTTGGCCAGTTCCATTTAAAAGAACTTAATTAGCCTGTTATGTAGATTGGCCCAAGTCTAAGAGGCGTGATTAGTACTTTACACATTACATTTGTAGCAGATATGAAATGGCATAAAGAATTCTCACATCCATGCTGCAGTATGAATAAACTAGTAAATCCTCTATTATAGTTTAAGGAGAGGATTGTATAGAGTTAAATATGAAACATCTAATCTTATGGTAATGGTAGCACAGTATCCAAGGATACCATTACACCATTGGCAGTTCCAAGAAATCTTTTTCATCCTATTATAAATAAATATTAAAAGCTTATGGTAATCCAGTGCAAGAATTGAGGAGATGACCCAAATCTTGCAAGAACTCATATAAGAACTCCTCAAAGTTTTGTAGTTTTCTGTAATTTTCTCCTTTTCCTCAGTGTGTATTTATGGGGAAGGGGAGTTGTTTCACAACAGTTGATGACTTCTGGTTTAGAATGTGTAGATATCAGTGAATAGTAAAAGTACCAAAGGGCTGCCAAGCTGACTCAATCCTAAGTGCTGCCCAGAATCAAATGTGAGGTGTATAATTGTTATACTGTTTAGAAGCAATATTATATTGCTACTAAGTTCAACCCATTTGTAGGTTAAAAAAAAAAATTGCCAAGGGAATCACATTTGGCTGATTTTTTTTAAAGAAATGAAAGCACTGCATCATTTTTTAAAAAAAAATGGAAAAATTGAGAAGATTCGGGTAGGCATGTGTGATTTGGTTTATTTCTAAACCATTTCCACATGAGTTAATATATTTGATCCTACCTGCAGATATTTTAACTTTGGTTTTCTTGTTCCAAAATATACATATTTGTGTACACATATCATACAAAACATATTTTGAAAATGTGTTCTATGTTTCAATGTGTTTTTCATAACCATATGCTGTATTTTTGGGTTTCAAACTGTTATCATCAAATTCTGAATTTTTAAACCAAATAATGCTCTGTACAGAAAATGGAAACTTACCTAATATCAAAGTCACCAAGGAGTATCAAAGGTTGCAAAGGGATCTGCACTGAGATGGAAGGAATAAGGCAATATTTTAATGGCATAATTTTACTTTTGTTATTTCTTAAATATAATTTATATTAAGAATTTTAATTATAATAGTGAAATTAATACAAACTAAACATAGAGAAAGAAAACAGAATGGAAAAAAGAATGAAAGTGCAGGAAAAAAAGAAAAGAATGAATATCATATAGAAAAAGAAAAGAATATATAAAGAAGTGACTTCTAATCTTCATCGCAACAGGTATGAACAAATCTAATAACTCTTCACACCCTAACAGGTTACAAATATGTTATCATCCTGTATACCGTCCCTTATTTATAAGCAATTCCTTAAAACATTAGCTTTTCAATTTTGATGTCAGAATAAAGGGTTATCACACCTTTGCAAAAAATGCCTTATTTTAACGTTGATCAACCAAACACCTTTTCCTTCTAACAGTTTTAATCTTTAATTCAATCAAATATTGTTATAAGAAATTATTTCCCTTCAATTCTTTATCCCATTGCACAAAATTCTTCAAAGCTTTATCAAATCTCTTTATTATATCCAATAAGAAAACATTTTCCATATCATTCTCTTGATTTATCATTTGTATCTCCCTTTCAATTTTTAAAAATTCAACTGGGTTCTTATGTATATCCAGTAAAGCATCCTTTTCGAAATCACTGTCTTGGCCTACTTCCACTTTTCAGTACTTTTTCTGTCTTTCAGATAAAATTTGCTCATTATCTGTCATTCCTTCATTAACATATTTTTAATAATATTTTATTAATTTTCCAATTTTACATTTAAGTATTTAAAAAGCAGTATGGTGGCTGAGTTAATCAATAGTTCAATAACATACAAAAATCTTTAGTACAAATCTCATGTTACAACATCAAATATTTCCTCTCTTTTTCCCTTAATATCTACTATCTCATATTTAAGCTAATACAGTTCTTATTATATCAAATAAAAACATCATTATTACATTTATCAGTAAATTTTTAGCTTATACATATCTTAATTACTTTTACTTTTACATTTACATTTTACATTTATAAACAATCAATGTCCTGTTATTGATTTTTTCCCAATTTTTAGTTTCCCATCAATATTCCAATTTAACATTTGATATTTATAATTTTCAGGCTTTAGTTAACCAAAGTTTCCCTTATCTCAATTCATAGCAGAATATAATATTCAAAATACATATTTTATCTATTTGAATATAGTCTTGTTTATTTCCTAAAAGTTATTTATTTTCCAACATATTAAATCATCTACTTAATAATACAGTATCCCCTTTAATAAATCAAAACCATTATATATATTGTCTGGGTTAATCAATAAATCAAACATATTCATAATAATTATTTTTTGTGTGTGTCTAATTTTTAGATATTAAAATAAAATCCTTATTTTCAATCAGTTTCCAAATATTTTAGATCTAATGACCAAAATTCCCCTTATCTCAACTTCTCCCTTTAACCCTCTGATTAGTACTATGAAATCCCCTCTAATAAATCAAAACCCCAATTTTCTTCAGCCTTATTCTGGCTTTCTTCCTTTGCCAACTAGCCTTCCATGTCTATGCTTTTAGATCATCAAATAGATCTTCCTCTACTGTTATATATGTTATTTGAAATAAGAGAGACCATTTAGTTGCCATTTTTTTGGAAGGACTAGCCCATTTGTATTCATTAAATTGTCTCCCTATTATTCCAATCCCCCATGATTGTCCTGATATGTTTATCTTCCATTCAATCTATTCTTCTTTCTCAAATTTCTTCTGATTTATATAGAAAGTCTTTTCCAGTTTTAGTGTTGTCACTCCCTGGATTTTCCATTAACTGTATTTGTTGGTCAATAGAGTCCTCTGTCTTAATATTTGATTGTTCCACTTATTCTGTTATCTTCTGTGTTGTTAGTTCTTTGGTTGTAGTCAAAGTCTGGGTTTGTCTATCTAAGCTGGCCTCTTGTTCTTTTATGTTAGGTCTTATTTTATCACAAGCTGAAAGAATGGTTTCATGTATTGCTTTCAACTTGGAAAGGATCTTTCCTTGGTCTTCATCCATATTCTCTTAATAATGTATTAAGTTGAGGACTTTAAAATCAGACGTTAAAAAAATTTATAACTAGGTATGTGACCTCTATTTCATGTGTTTATACATAGTCTTTATAGTAGAAGTCATTTGTCAAGTAAGATTTTATAGTCCAAGGTCCATCCTCAAATAAAGAGATAGGAAGGCAATTCCCCACATATAACTCTGAAAGTCAATAAAGGTTTACATTCATAGTTCAAGCAGGCCAGTTATGCCACCCAGACGTTCTTTTTACAGCTGAATTTCTCACAGGTGGTATCAATGTCAAAAGAGTCTTATCTAAAGTCTGGGCTTCAAGCCAAGTCTATTTTAGGCAATAACAAGTTGTAATACCAAACTTCACCATAAGATGTCACTGATGCCATTTAAAACGTTTTAAGTCCCCCATTTTTATAATAGTTTTTCGAAGTTTATTTCTTTTCTTTTTAAATAAAAATCAGTGTATCCAGTAGAAACAGGACTAAGAAAACTTCTAGGAAAACTTTTTAGTCCCTAAATTTCAAAAGTATATGCATCCAATTAGATTAAAGTTGTTTTTATAATTGCTTTGCTTCCCCTGGGTAGTCAGTCGCTGCTGTTCTTAGAGGGTTGGGCAGGAATTCCCTTCCCTCTTTCCTCACAGGCGGAAGAATGCTTAGAGCAGCTTTTGCAGGAAAGAGAAGATCAGATCTCACCTAGTTTCATCCGCGTTGCTTTAAAGTTGATTGGTAGTAATTTTGACTTCAGCTGTCAGCAGCTTAATGACGAGCCATATTGCTATGGCTGGTCTTTCCCCCGCCAGTTTGGAGAGCTGCCCTGGATCGAGCGGAAGGGCTACCGCCCTCCTGCAATCAATCGCTCATCGCTCCTACAGGGTGACTTTCAACCCTTTCCAGGGTCCTCCAGTGGGATGAAATCAGACACTGAAGACAGAGTTCGCCTCCATGCGTCCAAAGGTACCAATGACCAACCCGGAAGTCTCCTTCATTAACATATTTTAGATATAGTCTAGCCATTGAAGCAAACATCATTACTGACAGTGTTGATATTGTAGTTACTAATTTCTTGTTTCATTCTTCAAAGACATCCTTTAATATTTCCACTATTATTACATTTTGAATTATTTTGTAAGCCCCAGTATTCTGATATCAAAAACAGGCTTGTATTTTGTTTTCTAAGTAGAACCTTTAGTCCTCTCTAGCTTCCAATATTATCACTTATCTTTGTTTTGATCTAGGATAGCCAAAATAAATCTGTTTGTCAGTAGAAACTGTTTATTTTTAATAGTTAATTCCAAAATCTGATAATAAAAATCAATATTCCATATTTATCTGGACCATTAATTATTCATAACTTTTTAGATCAAAATCTTACATAGCTTTTTATTATGTATTTCAAGTTCTTTTTTTAAGTGATGTTTAATTTTTCCTTTGTTCAGAGTTGAATAAAGACTTACCCAATAAAGACTTTTCCAACATGGTATTTCAAAGGTCTCTAATAGCTTAAACATGATTAATAGGCAATTT